TACAATTTAAGTAAGAAATACAATGTCTAATTTTCATTCTCATTCTCAAATTTGGAAAGGCATTTTAAAAGGGAGAGAGTTACTTGCCTCGGGTTTAAGGGTAGGGATTGGTAATGGAACTTCTACTTCCTTATGGCATCATCATTGGTTAGGAAAGGGTCCCTTGAAAGATGTTATGATTGATGATATTCCCTCTCACATGAATAATTGGAAGGTGTCTAATATAATCAAAGATAAAGCTTGGTTTTTGAATGACATAGAACATCTTCTTCCTCAGCATATTCTTAATATGATCAAGGCCACCCCCTTGTCAAAGTTTGCTAATTTAGAGGATTTTATAACTTGGGATTTGAGCATGGATGGTATTTTCAATATTAGATCTGCCTATCACTTTCTTTTACAAGGAAAGTGCTTAGTTTCTTCTAATATAAAATCTTGGAAAAATCTTTGGAAAATACAAATTCCTTTTAAATACAGAATGTTTTTGTGGAATTGTGCTCATTCGATTTTGCCTGTTGCTAAAACCTTGTCTACTTATATGCCTCTTATTTCTCCTATTTGTTCCAGGTGTAATATTTATTCTGAATCTCACATACATATTTTTAGGGATTGCTTTGCTTCTTCTATCTTATGGAATGATATTTTTAATAAAATTTATCTTCCAAAAAACTTTGATTTTGGCATCTTTAAAAATTATGATTGAGAGATTTGGATTAATTATAATCTTGGCTTAGATAAAAAGTGGAAATTGATCTTTGGAACTACTTTGTGGCATCTTTGGATACATAGAAACACATCTATCTTTGAAGATAAACAAATCGGTCCTATTTCCCTTTTTACTAAGTTTTATTTCGATTATAAGATTTCAACTTCTTTGATACAGGTGAATAATAAAAGGAAAAGTGGAGAATCAAGTTCTGCTGCTACAACTTGGGAGGCTCCTAGGGATGGCTACTTTAAGATTAATACTGATGGAGCATGGCTCAACTCAGCAGTTTCTTCTGGAGGAGGTGCAATAAGGAGATCAGATGGCTCGTGGTATGTAGGATTCTCATGTAAATATGATGCTATCTCTCCTCTCCTTGCTGAACTGTATGCATTGAATGATGGCCTTTCTATTGCTGAGGATCTCTGATAGATTATGTAAATAATCTTTTGTAATTATCTGATGCTATCTCTCTTAGCATTGCTTTATCCAAGTCTTAGTCAATTCATCAATTGGATGTGAAGAATGCTTTCTTACATGGTAACTTGAATGAAATTGTATACATGTATCAACCTCTGGGGTTCAAGGATCCGGCTCGTCCTGATCATGTATGTCTCTTGAAGAAATCTCTCTATGGTTTGAAACAGGCACCACGGGCTTGGTATCAACGTTTTGCTGATTTTGTGGCCTCCATTGGATTTGTACACAGCAAATCAGATACTTCCTTGTTCATTTATCACCATGGTAATGATACTGCTTACATTCTCCTATATGTTGATGACATTGTTCTCACTGCTTCTTCAGAGTCTCTTCGGAAAAATATAATTTCTCAACTTAGCTCTGAATTTGCAATGAAAGATTTGGGTCCTTTGAGTTATTTCTTAGGTATTGCTGTCACTCGGACCAAAACTGGTTTGTTTTTGCCTCAAAAGAAATATGCTCAGGACATTATCAAGAAAGCAGGTATGACAAATTGCAACCCCGCTGCAACACCTGTTGATTCCAAAGGGAAAATGAGCACTCAGTCCGGCACTCCTTATGATGATCCTACTACTTATTGTTCTCTATGTGGGGCGTTACAGTACTTGACATTCACTCGTCCGGACATTTCGTATGCTGTGCAACAAGTTTGCTTATTTATGCATGCTCCTCAAGTTACTCACATGAATGCTTTGAAACGAATTATTCGCTACATTCAAGGTACTTCAGATCATGGATTGCAGTTATACAAGTCATCTGTTACTTCTCTTGTCTCTTATACGGATGCTGATTGGGGCGGGTGTCCTGACACTCGTTAGTCTACATCAGGCTATTGTGTCTTTCTTGGTGATAACCTGATTTCCTGTCCTCTAAAAGGCAACCTACTTTGTTGAAGTCTAGTGCTGAAGTAGAGTACAGAGGGGTTGCAAATGTTGTCTCAGAATCATGTTGGGTTCGAAACTTACTATTAGAGCTCCGATGTTTGGTTACAAAGGCAACTGTTGTTTATTGCGACAATGTTAGTGCCATTTACCTCTCTAGTAATCCGGTAAAACGTCAGCGCACTAAACATATTGAGATGGACATTCACTTCGTTCGTGAGAAAGTCCAACGAGGCGAGGTTCGTGTCCTTCATGTCTCATCCCGTTACCAGATTGCAGACATTTTCACTAAAGGTTTGCCTAAGATTTTATTTGATGATTTTCGGGATAGTCTTAGCGTTCGCAAAGCTCCCGTTTCGACTATGGGGGTATGATAGATTATGTAAATAATCTTTTGTAATTATCTTGTATATATTATAGTCAAAGGGCTATCAATTAGCTTCCTGTTTTGTAGCTTTTAGTTATGCCTAAATATGGGCTTATAGTTTGTATATAATGACCATCAGTCAATGAGAATACTCACGGCAAATATTCATTCTATTCTTATAATCTGAGGGTAAAGAAGGTGATTGTGGAGACGGATGCCAAAGTTTTTAGGGATATGCTAATGTCAGCAGGTCCTAATCCTCATCATGAACTAGCTGCTGCAATTTGTGATGTTGCTACGGTTCTATCCAAATTTGAGGTTGTTGTAGTCACTCACAATCCAAGGGAGGCTAATGAATTGGCTCACCGTCTTGCTGTATTTGGAAGGGAGATGGCAGTGGGATACAAAACCCATTACTTGGTTCCGGATTGTGTCTCTGATTTGTATGAAGCAGAGAAGAACAGGGTTGTTGCAGCAGCAGCTAATCAGTAGTTGTTTTCTTCTCATTCTCTTAATTATGGATGGACATAACTTTTAGGTTAGTTTCATGGTTGTTATTGTATGATAGCTCTGCTTTGTGGAAGCAGGATGCTTTTGGGCTTAATTTTGATGTACATAATACTCCTTGTGGGAGTTTAATTTCGGATGTAACTACAGCCTATTGTTTAGGCTTTTTTTTGCTTCTGCCTAGATTTTCAATGTAAATACTTTGGGATAATCTTTGTAAATATTAAGGCTATAGCCTTTTAATATATATATCTTCTAGTTATGTTAAAAAAAGTTAATACGATGTACAGTAAAAATTAGAATAAGGTTTTATAAATTTCAAAATTGCATTGATAAGAATAGTAGTCTAATATAGGTATTTCGCGCACGGCAGCGATTGAAAAAGGATTTAAGGAACTTTGACTCTGAATAATCATTAGTTCTAGGAGACATCTTTATAAAGGCCTGCAACCTGTTTCGATTCGGCTTGTAACCAACGCTCTATTTTTTCATACTGGGATTTTGGTTCGTAAGCTTGTCGTACGCAATTATGTGTGAGGCAAGTTGTACCCAATAGCTTCTCCGAAGTATATTACAACTATCATTAAGAATTGTTAGTAGTTATGGGATCTTAAATACTACACCCTTTATCTCTTATTTTTTGTCTTATTTGACTTTTTAAGGTCTCCAACACACATATTCAAACGTATATATCTATTTTTATACACGCAAAAATTATAAAAACTTAATATTAATAAAATATACAATGATACAATTACAATCAGATCCCACATGTATATATAATCACATATAGATTAAAGAGACTTTAGTATCAAAGTATTAAAAGTTTGACCCAAAAACATGCAATGGGGTAAAAAATAAGGGATGGAGGGAATACAAAGATCAACATAACAGTTATATTAAATTGTGAACTTTTTATCTTTTGTTCAAATACATATTTGTATATCCTAAATTGTATCAAGTTTGACGTACTTTTTAAAACAAACTTATATGTGGTATAAACATAGTAACATATTTATTGATACTCTAAAATAACTTTGGACATTTTGTGAAAAACTAGCTTATAAAACTTTTTTTTTTGCAAGAAACTACCAAATAAAAAAAATATTGTAAGAAACTACCTTATAAAAGGGTAAATGTTGTAAGAGACTACCATTGTTCAGAAAAAGTCACCGTTGACTTTCATTTTTCAGTGTTGACCACACATGCTTTTAATTTACCCTTTCCCCTTTTTTCTTAATTGGCACATAATATAGTCAACATCGTAAAAATAAAAGTCAACGATAACTTTTTGACCATGAATATTGTCTTATAACATTTACTCTTTTATAAGGTAATTTCTAACTACTTATTTTATTAGGTAGTTTTTCACACAAAAAAAGTGTTATATAAAATAGTTTTTCACAAAATATCCGATAACTTTTTATTCAAAAAAAAATTCGCATAGTTTCATAGATTGCACACTTGGCAAAATACCAAGTGCATCAATCTAATGTTGTGGTCGAATTCCGGATTTATATATTAGTGAGTACGGAGTATATCATATCATATCATACTGTGATGAATGAAAAAAATACGGTGATTGAGGGGATTTTGGAAACTTTAGATTTCCCTTGATGATAGGAAACAATGGCATTAGGTTGAATACTTCTTATGTCGGTGGCTACTTCGGGTCACACCAACTCGCCATGTGTCCATAATATTTACAATTGGTCTTGTATGGACCTGGTCTACAATAAAGACCTAAAATTTGACACTTTCAAATAATATAATCACATTATGATGATATAATCACTTTTTTAGACAATATAATTATCTTTTTGTGAGTCATATTTTGAATTATATAATCTCATATTAAACCATTTAATGAGATTATATAATTATCTTTAGGATGATAAAATTTAAAAATATCTTTTGAATGATGTAATTTACTATTTGATACTTTTTATAATGATAAATTCACTTTTTGAGTGATACATTTACATAACAGTTTTAGGATGATATAGTCACTTTTGTAGTAATATAATCACATTTCGTATGATATAATCACATTCGTATGTTATACTAGAAGGTTGGGTCTACAATAAGTTATTGTAGAGCGGGTCTATTCTAGTCTTTACCTGACACTTATCTTCCTGTTTTACATAATGAAAACAGGGTAAGAGATCACAAAGCGGAAAAAACTTCACATTGTTATAGAATTCAATGCATATAAATTCTATCTACAAGCCGTATCCGCCATATAATTTGTTATGGAAAAGAGTAAACTCGTTAATCTGGTTAACTGCTTCACCAATGAATAATTGACCCATTCCAGTAAAAACATGGGAAAAGCTGAAGGTTCACCCCAACTTATCTACGTAGTATAATAAAAAGTTGGTGAAGCAGCATGTGACTAAGAAAACCAGCTCTTCGTATTATTTGTGGACTTCAGTTTCAGTACAAGTTCCTCACGCTGAGCCTCAACTTCAGCATACCTGAGACTCAGCTGAAGGTATCTTTCTCGAATATCTCTCAGTTCTACCTCAAGGAAAGAGATGCTGTTCCTTTGCCTTCTGTCATCTGATTCGTTGTGACTTCCTGCCGTCATGGAAGTATCTGAAAAGGTCTGCTCTTCGGACAAAAACCTGGTAACAATGATTTACGATTAAAAAAAAAACACACACACACACACACACATAACCACAACATATGAAGTACAAGGTATTTTAAGTACACAACTCCGTAATTCCACATTGAGGCCATCGAATTAATACTCGATAAATTCAATGTGGAAGGGGGGAAGGAGGTAGGTCCTATTATCTTGTTTGTATAAGCAGTTATCCTTAACTTGATGATTAATGTTGTGGCCCTTGTACAAGTGATCACACAAAAGATGTTCCACATATTTTGAGCTTATTTTTTAATTTTTCATTTTGCATACCTTCTAAGCTGAGTTTTGTACATATCATTTGCTTCCAAAGCTTCAGCGAGTTCAATTTCGAGGGACTGGATTTTCAGCAAATAATCTGTACTCTGAACTCCAAGTATCTGTAATAAGGAGAATCAGTAAGGCAGTTTTGACAATAAGACCATCTTCAATGGTGAGATTTGAGTGAGTTTTTTTATGAGAGAGTATTTTTTGCAAAGGATACCAATAAGTTGGTATCTAAAATTAACAACTCCAAAAGAAAGTTGCTAAATTTACATACTCAACTTTGAGTCTCATTTGACAAAAAGTGTGGCCCTTATAATATATTTTGTAATTTATTTAAGTGTTTTTTTTTTTTTTTTTGAAAAATTTACAATATGGATTTGGTGGGCCATAAATTGAAAGTCACATTAGTATACTTTAAAAAGTCTCACTAATGGAAAATTAGACTTCACATGAGTTGTTAAATTGAGAAGTGAATTGGGTATTACTATTGGAGGTAAAAAAAAAAAAAAAAAAAAAACAATTCATTTTGTATTTCAATACTCAAAGTTGAGTCTCACTATTGGAGATGGTCTAACACTGGAACATACAAACAGACTTTATTACAATACAGAATAAAATAGAAACACCATTATGGATACAAGTAAGGCCAACTCTTAGAGTCATAAGAAGATACTCTGATATACCAACCCATATGGAAGTCTACCCTAATATTCAATGCTAACAAGAAAATACCCAATTAGACATTTATGTTAATCACCCTTCATCTTCTTCGATATCGATTTGACCTCTTTATAAAAAAGCATGGTAAGAAAAACAAATTAAAGGCATCAGGATTTTAGATAATAAAGTCTAACACCCCCCCCCCCAACAAAAAAAATAAAAATAAATAAATAAAGAAAACCTCTATTCTTTTGGCTTTTCTGGATTGCATAACAAATCACAGAAGCTTATGTAGTAGCTTCACCTAAGTATCTATAAACAACAGGCACTATATACCAAAAAGTAGATTAAATTCCAAGAAAACTATGCCACATACCTCTAAGTGTTGCTTTTCATCTTTTGTGGAGCACACAGCATCAATGCATTCTGTACCAAGGTCAGCGTGGCCTACAGAATTCAATTGATCATGCATCACCGTAGTTTTTAGTTGCTGTGGTTTTTGATGGACTGGAACTCCATTAAGATACCCTTCTAGGTCCTCCTCAAGATGTTGTATTTTCCGTTGAAGTTCAGCATTTGCCCTCTTATGTTTGCTGAGCTCAAATCTTAACTCCGCATTCTGGGCATAGAGTGCCTCTTTGGTAGCTAGATCCCCTTCTAACCGCAAAATTTTCTCTTCAAGGGCTATTTTACTACGCTGACAGTTATCTAACTCCAACAGAGACTGCTGCATACCATTTATCTTCTCCACAAGCGAATCCTTCTCAGTCTTCATATCTTCATGATCTTTACATAGCAGGTCAAAAGAAGCTTTCACCCTTTGATTCTCAAAACTGGCTTCACTGAGAGAGGTCTTCAGACTAAGAACTTCATCTTGAAGCAGGTTAGCTCTCTGCAGTTGTTCCTTAAGGCTTGAAATTTCCTCTGCTAACTGCAGTTCTTCATATTTTGAAGCTTTAAGATTGATCTCAAGCCCAGTGATGACACTTCTTTGTTTTTCTTCAATAATTTTTAAATTTTCCTGTGACACTAACAGGTTATCATTCTTAGTCATAAGAATATCCTGGTTATTTCTCAAAGCAGTAAGTTCTCCAGTTAGCTGTTGTACTTTGGCTTCAGCTTCTGCTTCCATGATACTCAATTTTCTCTGAGTGATCGCATATTTACTAGTCAAATCTTTAAGAGAAGCTTCAAGCTTAGCTTTTTCAGCACGTAAAACGTAAACTTCAAGTATGGCTTCAGATGACACTGTTTCCTGCTTGTCATGAGCGACTGATATCTGATCAATGAGGTGTATGAGCTCTTTCTGAAGATTTTCAGCTTCAACTACCTTTTCTGAATACATATCATTCAATGAGATATTTTCTTGCATGACTTTTTCTCGTTGTTCTCTATCCTCAATAGCAAGAGATTCAAGTTCAGACTTAAGGGTCTTTTCCTTTAAGGAAACTTCTTCAACAATCATAAGAAATTCAGCTTCTAAAGTGTCAATCTTCACTGAGAATTCAGAAAATTTTCCCTGTGTGTCCTTCAGTTGAGATTCCAAAATAGTGCATCGTGAATGCAAATCTGTGTTCTGCCTCCTCAGGTCCCAATTAAACTTCTGAAGTGAAGCACATTCATCGATAAGGTTTTCTGCTGTTAATTGCAACTTTGGATTAGCCTTTTTCAGATATTCACACTCTTCTAAAGCTTCAAGCCATCGATTTCGCATGTCTTCTACATTAAGTCTCATATCTCCTTTCTGTGTCTCCATTTCAATCTCCAATTTTTTAATCTCATCACGAAGTTTCATTGTTTCGGCTTCTGAATTTTGCAGCTTCACAAGACATGTCTCTTTCTCATCTGTCAAATATCGTAACTGGGCTTCCAAAGCTGATATTCTTTCTAACAACTGCATGTTTTCCTTTTCTATATCAAACAGGTGCTGCTCTAGGTCTTTTTTTCCTTTTCCCAACTCTGATGACAACCTTTCAAGTACCTTGCTTGCAGAAATATGTGACTCCATGCTGCTTGATAAAATTATAATCTCTTTTTTCAATTCCTCTGAACTTTTAGATGAACTGCCTACTTCTCTTTCCAAGCTCTGAATTTTCTCTTTCAGCAGAATATTTTCCTCATAAACACTTGCTATCTGATCTTCAGGTGTATTTAACTGTTTTCGAACAACTTTGATATCTTCCTCTGCCTGCTCTTTACATAGATCAGGTTGGATGACTTCGCCAGAATTTCCAAGTCCCTGATAGGAATTGCAATTATCATGTTTTTTCAAACTTTCAAGCTCCAGCTTAATATCTTCTTCTTGGGTATCTAATGTATCTTCTTTTGAGTATTTGAACATTACTCCGCACCTATCACATTCTCCTTCAAAGCATTTGTTGGTTTTGGATAAAGAATCCAAAATCTCATGCAGCTGCTCTTTACAAGTAAGTGGCTTATTACAAGTCAACTCTAAGTTATGAAAACAACAAATATCATTGCAATCTACAGATAAGTTAAGAGAAAGTCCATGCCTTTTTGTTAGCTTTAGAGTATGATCAAGCAGTTTACGAATCTCGAGAAGTATATCAGGTAGATTGTTGGGGGTAGAAGGCTCACAAATCACATTTGGTAGCAACAATTGCAAGTCTTCAGTCTTCTCTTTTGCTTCATAGTTCTCTATTAATTTCTGCAATGCATGAAGTTCTATCCTCTGTTCTTCAACTTGAACATGAAGCTTCTGTAACTCATCTTCAAGATGAACAGCGTTTTCCTTATAAGTCTGCAGCTGAATATCTGCTACACGGCTTTTTCGTTCAAGATCTGGACATTGGGCCTGTGACTTCTCAGAAGTGGAAGCATGTTCGAACAGTGTTTCTTTGTTTCTCAGTTCATGCTGAGGCTTTTGTAGTTGGCTTACTTCAGTTTCACATATTAATGTAGAATTCGTTGATTGTTTGAGCTTTAAAAGAAGTTCCAAGTTTTCCTCAGTCAGTTCGTTACAGTCCTTCTCAAGCTCTTCTACTTTTCTCCTGAGGACGTTGATCTCTTTGGCTTGATCTGTCTCATGTTCAGTGTCAACTTCCAAGTTCCTGTTTATTTGGTACTTGGCAGCTTTTGATAGCTTCGCTTCCAAGTTCGTGACCTCTTCCTCTTTCGCAGCTACTTGAAGCCTCCACTTTAATTCAGAATCCAAAATAGCTTGTGTTTTGAGGTTCCTTTCCATCTCTATCTTGTCATCCTTCTCTTCCACAGACTTCTCAAGCATTTGGATGACATTTTTTTGTTCCTCTTGTGCTTCCTGCAACTGCTGCAGCTGGAGCTTTGTGTTATGGATGGCCTCAGGAGAATATTCACCAGGCTCTTGTGTTGGCTGTGTCTTTGTATCAGATTCAGTTGAGAGCTGTGTTTTTGCAGATAGAAATTGGTTTTCAATTTGCAACTTTGAATCTTGAGAAAGATTTTGTATTTCTGATTTCTGTGTTTCTATGATTGTTTCAAGCTCCTGTAAAATGGACAAAAGCTCAATGTTTGATTCTTGTGTTTTGTGTAGCTGTTCAGTCAAGTCAGCATTTGATTCTTTATGAAACCTTATTTCTTCCTCCATTTCCTTCTGTAGTTCATCCATATCTGTAGAATGAAGTCTTAAATCTCTTGTCACACTGTTTTTCTTTGCAGTCTCTTCTAGAGATTTTTTCAAATGCTCAATCTCCTGCTTTAGGCCATTACATTCCTGCTGTGAGGCTGATAGCTCCATGGTGAGAGTTGCTTGACTCCTTGACTGCCCAGACATTTCATTCTTCAAGACTTCCACGTCATGGGTTAACATTTTAGTATATCGCTCCCGCATCTTAGCTCCAGACCTTAGCTCCTCGATCGTAAGCTCCGCAGTTTCAAGAGATCCCTTTGAAGAGCCAGCATTTGAGCATGGTGGTGACATACAAGCATTGGAATTCTGCTCTGCTTGTTTAAATGCAGAAGCGCCAAATGACTCAGCAGCCCTGGTATGAATAGAAGAATGATTTGATTGATTATCATTACAAGTTTTACGAAAGCTATGAGATGGACCACTGTTTTGTGAATCAATAGAATCCTGTCTCACAATGAGGTCGGCACGCAAAATATTATTTTGAGGAGAAAACATGTCATTCCCAGAAGAAGCCTCTGCGGAATCAAAACTATGTCGGGAATCAGATGCTGACAAACTTGGATCCTGTTTCATAAAAGCACAACATGGAACAAAGATCAGATACCAAATAGCCAACACCATGAGCACGTCATTCATTTAAGTAAGCCTTTACTGCTATTCAAACAAAAAAAAAAAAAAAAAAAAAAAAAAGTGTTGTTTCGGTTTTGGACTTAGGACCTATCACCCATGTTCCCTAATTTCTTTGCCCTAAAATCAACCAGCTCCCACCTTTGTCTCCATGTAAATCTTTAAGAATTCTGCTAATTGTTGATCTATGAACACCAAATTGAGTTACAAGTTTTGATTGGCTTCCACGAGGTAAAGATCTTCCCTTAGCAAAGCCAACCAATTGTCCAAAATCAATCTTTTTTCATGAAGATTGAGTTGTGTTATACACTTATGCTACTGCTTCTTCTGACGTGGGTTGTGAGTATACTAAGTTTCCCTCCGATGGAAGCTGATCAACACTAAAATTCATCATCAATGATATCTTCCACTTTTTTCTGTAATTTTTTTTTTCTTTCTATTACACAGAAAAGAATCTGCTAGGAACTGGAATCAAAACAGAGGCTCACACAATCAACACAGAAGAAATAGATAGCGGCAATGATATGATGTATTGATAATCAGTGTAATTAATCAATACAACTCTCCTTCTTTCGAGAGGAAGGAATCTCTCCCACAACTTCACACTAAACAATTTTTGCATAAACTCTCCTATTACAAAATTGCCTATATATAATCAGTTACTAGCATCTTCTATAGCTCAGAAGAATAACAAACTTATTTCTCAAAATTATCACATTACCCTAAACCCCCATAACAAACCATAACAGAATTTCCAACTCAGCATCAAGTTGCTGGAGGATTCTTTTAGGCCTTCTTCGAGCATATGTGATTATGGGCCTAGGCTGACCCCTTGCAGAATCATGGCAGCATAGAGAGTATTCTTATTATTATATTTATTCTACTCTGTCATTTCATTTCTTGATTTCATTCTTATCCCCTTCAGGGAACTCAAGCAACTTCAATCTCCATGACTTTTCCTGGCAATATTAACACTTCCAGACAATAGAACCAGAGATGAGTGCATGTTCATATGAATATCAAGCTGCTAACTGTATGAAGCAAGGGGAACAAAAGAGTAAATAGTACCCAATATATAAATGAACCATGAGAATATAATTAGATGATCTTAAGCACCTTAAAGTCAATGATAATATACTGCACATTTATACCGCAACACAAACACACTGGTCAGCACAGGCAAAGGCACACACTGGTAGGAACAAGAGTACAAATCACATATATGTATAAGACGGAGAGAGAAGAAATGGAAGAAGTGAGAGGTACCCTACTAAGACCTGCTTGGGATGTTGACGTACTCTCTAAATGATTGCCAGACATTGAAGCCCCACTCCGAGAAAGCGCACCATCAGATGCATCAGATGTAATCTCTGAGTCATCATTTGAATATTCAACATTGATATTGGTCCCTTCACTTTGTGAATCCCTATCAAATATACACTTCTATAATCATAATGTTCACAACAGAAATGATTTAATGAGAAATGTTGAACTATACTAAAGTAGTACACACCTATATTTTGTTTTTGGAGTCAGGCACTGAATTTTCAACTGTAAAACAATTAGCAAAGTACATTAATGCTCAAGCATTATATAGGAAGCTGATAAATGTAAACAAAGAAAACATTTGACATAAGAGATTAAAAAAATATTAGGAATTAGGCCACCATATATGTATTACTTTAGGTAAAACAATTATAATTTTGATGGCTATGATTTTTATTGTCACAAAGTTACAACAAATAGATCCTTGGGCCTAAAAAGGTATGCAATCATAACAAGTAATTAAAGCGCTAACAAGATCTCCAATGTACGAGAAAATTTGAAAAATTGAAAGAAACTAAAATCTATGACTTGTGAGGCTTAATACGCATCAATTACAATAATGAGTTACTGACACACTATAGATCCCAAACAAAATGGAAACTGTGAAGGAGAAGAGATTATCAAGAACCCTTTAAACATCAAAGCCAACACACAAAGAGTAGACTCCTAAAATGTTACAGTAGCACATGGCTGCTTCCAAAGCAAACTCTAGAGTACATACGGTCCTCTTTTTGATGATTAATTGTGGTTATCATGTTTTAAATTGAACACAAAACCTAGACTTATGTGTATTTTAAACCATGATTTCAAGAACATCTTCAAAAACACAACTTTTGAGTAATCTACCCTCTTAATTACACACTAACTTGGTATCAAAGCAAGCAAAATTTTCTGGTCACTGATTGTGAGCAATCAACTTGAAAATTTTTGCCTCAATATTGCGTTTGATTTTTATTCCTAATTGTTTGGATTATAAGAATTGGAGGGAAAGGAAGAGAAGAGAAAAGAAGGGATTCATCCTCCCTTCTTTGGATATATATTTTGATAGGAGGGAAGGGAAATGGAAATGGAAGGATTCATTTTCCCTCCCTCTTTCATAATAAACCAAATCCTTCCAACATTGGAAAGTTTTGAAGGGAATGTAACCTTACCTTTTCCCTCCCCTTCCATTCCTCCCCCTTCCTTCTTCCTCCCTCCCTTCCCTTTCTCTTCCACTTTTCTATCCAAAGAAACCGTAAGTGTCATCCAGTAAAGTGTAGTAAGTTTTTTATGAGAGCCACGCCCTACACAGCTTTGAATATTGACATAAAGTAATATGAGATCCTTAAAGAACAACATAAAGTTTTTGGTGACTGACTTGCCCATTAGGATATGTTCAGCAATTCTTTTTGTGTTCTGAACATCTTTTCAACAAGTCACATATCCTACACAGCTCTTTAAAGTAATGGTAAAAAAACTGAAGATCTAGAAATTGTGCGTACGGACATGGAACGACTGTTTGGTGAATTCAAGAAGCTGATTGTTTGGACGCTAGCTATGCACATCATATTGTACTAGGTGTGGAGTTCTGTATTGGTGATTCAATCAAATGCTACAACACAAACAAGATGATTTTGATGTGATTATTGACAACCATAGCAGTCTGGAGGTCAGAAACTTTTCAGATTTGGGTTTTCTTGATGTGGATAGTGTAAAGATTGCATTTTTATCATGCTTCAATAGTAAAGTTGCATTCTGTGTTCTTCTATAAGCAAGTTTTCAAGACATGGGATTTCTTTGATCATGTTGGTGTTGTGGACTTGTGGTTACATCTCATGCTATTATTGGCCCATTGAAAGCCAAGATTCAAGATAGGGAAAATGGTGTGGCTTGATTATTTGCTAATTTTGTGAGGACTTGGTTAATTTATTGGCAATGCAGGGGTTTCACACAGTATTTATGCAGGGGTATGATGCAGGAGAGAAGAAGAATGAACGGGAGGCGTCGTACGAAGAATCAATTGTTCTTCACTAATAGTTTAAATATGTTTAGATTTGCCTTTCATATTTTTATCATACTAGGTGGCTAACGCGCGCGCTGCACACCATAGTTAGCCATGTACGGGAGTATTTTAAAGGTTCAAAGGTCCGCACAAGGCGCACACTATTTTAAAAATAACAATAAAAAAAAAACCAATTAACATTGATGAGTTCAAATAAGTAAAACATTTTAGAGGATATATTATTGTCCAAACAGTATTTATAAGAGTTCTCACAAATTTTTTAAAAGGAAGGGATTCAAATAAAAGGCAATTAACATTAATGAGAGCAAATAAGTAAATACACATTTTAGAGGGTATAATTGTCTAAACAATATTCATAAGTGTTATCTCAAACTTTTTTAAGAGTCTTTTGGTTGGACCCTTTGGAATAGGTTGGAATGGGGTTTAAATTCATTCCATCCATTTTAGTGTTTGGTTAGGCTTTTTTGGTATGGAACCTCATGTCAAGAGGATTCTAACTCCACCCCATCCCCCTAGAATCACATACCCACCTTATCCCCTAAGATTCACATTCCATTCCTTTAATGATATGTAAAAACCATTCCTCATGTCAAGAGGATTCTAACTCCACCCCATCCCCCTAGAATCCCATACCCACCTTACCCCCTAAGATTCACATTCCATTCCTTTAGTGATGTGTAAAAAGCATTCCAATGGTCCAACTATAAACCAAACAACTTCAAACTAGTATGGGAGTTAGAATCCATCCTAGTATGAGATTCCATACCAATCTATTCCAGTTTAATGAACCAAACGACAAAGGTAGGGATACTTGAGTGGGTTGTCATGTTTCAAGAATAATAGGATTCTATTTGTGCAAGATAGAAATCTATTTGTGCAAAGGAGTCATAGCTAGTTGTTTTGACGTTTCCTTAGTAGTTTTATTCTTATCCTTTTTGTTAGTATTGCTTATACAAGGCCTATTAGCTTATCTATAAAATTAGAGTGTTGGAGTTTGCAAAATGTGATGAGCTTTGCTATCTAGGTTAATGTTTAAACCAAACACATAGCCAAAACTTTTACGTATTAATAATCTGCAACTTCAAGAAGAACCTCAAAACTGTGACTTTTGAGTAATCTATCTTCTTAATTTCTGTTCTTGTTTCATTGATATCGTTCAAAAACCAGCAAGAATCAACACAGCATTTTGATTACACATCACTTTAAATGCTGAACAGGTAACACAAGAAAGCAGTCATTCATCAATAACCAGCACCGGAAGTGAGGGACAAGATTCATAATGACAGCATATCAAAAAATATTAAAGCCAAAAAATAATAAATAAAATAAGAATAACTCATGAAGTCGGGAATGAATGACAAATCAACATGATTATTTAAAAGGGAATAAGAACGTGGGTGGTGCAAATAGTAGAGAATAAGAATGATCTGTGAGCAAATGACTGCTTACTTGTAGTGAAGTAGCATAGTTGCATTTTTTCAGTACCAATGACACAGGTGTAGAAGTTCTCGAACTTGCGAAGTCTGCCAGATTAATGGTAACTTCCCCAAGGATGCCAGAACGAGATGAACTCTGTAGTGTTTAAAGATCTACCTCTTAAAGTGATGAAATAAAGAGATACAGAAGAAAAAATATTCCATAAACTAAAGTTGGTACCAGACCATGGCAACAAGAAATCTGAAGAGGGATCCTTGAAGCTCTTTTGAATTTCCTTTCTCTTGTAAAATGGAGACTGATTCATGGAAGGTTTCTGTCCACCGACAAATACCATTTCTTACAGAGGCTTTTCCTGATTTAACAATCGTCTTCCCTGTTTCAAGAGAAACTAAAGACACAAATAGTTTATCCCACCCTTTTGGTACCTGCCATTCAGAAGAGCAGTATACACCAAAGATATATCAATAACAGAACAAAAAACTGCATAATGCAGCGAGTAACTGAGCTTGTCTTAATGTGAAATCAGAACCATATTAAACAATCAATCAACTTACAGGAGACAAGTCTACAGCACAATTCAGTAAAAATAATAAAACCAAATAAATAAAACCACCCAAAATCGTTCAGTTATTCACATTGAATTTACAAGGGTTTCTTGTTTATTGATAAGAAATTCAACAGTAATCTTATAAATTAACATAGAAGAAAAGCAAGATGTGAACAATTTATAGCACAAAGAAAACATTACAGTATAATAGAAGCAGACAATGTCCTTTTTACGACTATTTTTAGCATCATAGTCGACACTTGACTTCAAACTTTCCAACCTTGTCAAATGGCTCAAATCACATGAAAACACAAAAAAAGGAGCATATCATGGGTGTTATATCATGCTTAGGAGCCCTCAGATCATGAATTGACACATTGGAAAAGTTCCAATAAATTGTGCAAGACTCTCCTTATTCAGAAGTACCATAATACTTGCAACATTATCTTTTTATAAGAAATTATCATAATGCATGCACCCTTAATTTGCTTGTGGGCTATCTTTATTTCTCTCCTCATCAAATGTGACCCATATACTACTTGCAAACGATCTCAATCACGAGATACTTAATATTTGTAACCCTCCCCAAGGTTGAATGTGATCTTACTACAAAGCCCAAGGTGAAGTTTCATCCTAAAGTGAACTCCACAGGTATACCTAGCTTTGGTACCCGTTCAACAAATGGAGGACAAATAAGAGAGAACCCTCCAATACATCCTCTCCCACCACCCGTGATCCTCACATACAGAAGACGCCACAGAAAACAGCAGGAACAGAACACCAACAACAACAACCCATGGCAGCAACAAGGGAAAGCAGGGGACCGTTGAGCAGACAAGTTACTTTAAGCTATTTGTTTGTAATGTCCTAAAGTAGAAAATAGACAATAGTAGTACTTGTTGTAATTAAGGCTTTATTGCCATTTCGAGTATAGTAGTAGAAGTTCAAATTACAACCTTCCGACCGAATTACTTCTGTCATTCACGCTTAGTCCGATACAGTTACCAGACACTGACACCGGAGAGGGTGGCGAACCTCGAGAAAAGAGTGGAAGAAATTTTTGAGAACCTAGGCGACGGGGAGGGCTCCCTTGACCCTGTTGAAGAGCCAGGAAGTGGCAATCTACGATGCCAGGCAGGTTCTGGAGGGTCGGATTGACCGCTCTCGCAACGACCAAACTCAGCAGAATGCCTTAATGACTAGCAAACAAGACAAGTTTATGGAAGAAATTTGAAGCGCCATCAAAGCCTTGGGCAAACAGCCTATTCAGACCATTCTGGTGGACGACGAGGTAGAGCAGCCGCGGCCACAAGGTGGGTTCGACGGCCACTGGTGGAGGAGGGCACAATGAAACCCCTCGGAGGGCTTTAATGGTCTTCAACTCGGCACTTGGGAACCGGGGGTCGGTGGGCAGTACCGACACCATGGCGAGGGCAACGACAACCGAGGTAACTGGAAATATTGGAAGCTCGACATGCCCATTTTCGATGTATCTGACCCAGACGGATGGATACTCCGGAGCGAGCAGTATTTTCAATTTTACGAACTGATGGAAGTGGAGAAGATATAGGCCGCGGTGGTGGCTTTGAACGGTGACGCCCTGAGGTGGTACCAATGGGAAAGCCGGCGGCGATCACTCTGGGAGGATATGAAGGGACGAGTGCTAAACCAATTCTGACCGGTTAATTCAGGGACATTGCACGCGCAATGGTTGGCAGTGGTACAAACCACATCGGTGGTTGAAAATCGGAGGGTGTTTATCGAGAAGGCGTCGCCACTAATAGACATACCCGAAAGACTGATGAAGGGTCAATTTATCAACGGTTTAAAGGAAGAGATGAGGGCTGAGATCCGAATGTCAATCCAATGACCCTGGAAGATGCCATGAATCTGGCAATTCGGGTCGAAGAAAGAAACCGAGTTAGTAACCCGAGGAAGACGGGTGGGGTTTTTTCCCGACCCGGACCCTATTCATATTTCAACAAGAGCCCTGTTTCAACATTGCTAGTTACTGGCTAGCCCAAACCGTGAACACACACCCCCACTCAAATAGCCCAAACATAAACATATCCCACAAACCCAAACACGACCCCTTACAACCCAAATTGAACTTACTAACATTCGAACCCAGCCACACCAGCCCAATCCTCAGTAGCTTCAGCGAGCCAACCATCCCACAACTATCCTAACCGGAGCAGCTCGAGCACCACCAGGTTCCAAGGGGAGGTGCGGCGACTGACCTAAAGGGAGATTGCCGATAAGAAGGCAAGAGGCCTTTGCTTTAGGTGGGATAGCCGGTGGACCAGTCCTAACCATGTGTGCACCGCCAAGGGGCTAAGTGTTCAGTTAGTTGATGATGAAGAAAAGGAGGAGGCAGGGAATTCGTGGCAAAAGAGGCGCCGGAGGAAGAGGAGGTTCCGACCTCCGTATCAATAAACTCCATTGTTGGTCAAACCAACCCGAAGACGATGAAATTAACGGGAACGATCAATGGCACTCCGGTGGTCGTGATGATAGACCCGGGCGCTTCACACAATTTTATCTCAATAGAGACTGTAGAGAAGCTTGGCATTCCTGTCACTGGAACGAATTCATTTGGGGTGTCTCTAGGCAACGGGGCAGCGGTTAAGGGCCGAGGCTCATGTCAGGGAGTTCGAGTGAAACTGAAAAAGGATTTGGAAGTGGAAGAGGACTTCCTACCACTTCAATTGGGTAACTCAGATTTGATTTTGGGTGTTTAGTGGTTAGAGAAATTGGGAGAAATCATGACTAATTGGAAATTACAGAGAATGAGCTTTGTTATTGGAGGGGAAAATGTAACAATCCATGGGGACCCGAGCCTAGCTCGTACGGGAATTACCTTTAAGGCGATGATGAGAACATTGAGGAAGGAGCATGGAGGGGTGTTAGTTGGAATGAAAAGCATGGAGGATGAAGGAAATGGGCAGGAGGGTGAGGAAATTCAAGATTTTCTGAGAGGAGTGATTAAGGAACACAAAGAGGTATTTGCGGACCCCAAGGGGCTGCCACCAACCCGGGGGCACGAACACTCCATTGTCCTCGGGGAGGGAAGTAACCCCGTAAGTGTCCGGCCGTACCGATATCCCCAATGTCAAAAGGATGAGATTGAAAAGCTCGTCGGAGAGATGCTTGAAGCGGAAATCATTACACCCTCAACTAGTCCTTTCTCGAATCCCGTTCTTTTGGTCAAGAAGTAAGATGGCTCGTGGCGGTTTTGTGTTCATTATCGGGCCTTGAACAAGGAAACGGTGCCGGATAAATACCCGATACCGGTATTCGACGAGTTACTGGATGAGTTACATGGAGCCCAAGTGTTCTCTAAATTGGACCTCAAATTATCACCAAATCTTGGTTCGACCGGAGGACACTCATAAAACGACATTCCGCACTCAAGAGGGGCACTATGAGTTCTTTGTCATGCTTTTCAACATCACTAATGCACCGGCAACGTTCCAATCTCTCATAAACGAGGTATTTCGCCCTTACATGCGTAAATTTGTACTTGTTTTCTTTGATGACATACTTGTGTATAGTGCTAGTGAACAAGATCATGTGATGCATTTGAAATTAGTGCTTGCTACGTTGAAGAAACATGTGTTATTTGCAAATTATAAAAACTGCGAGTTTGGCAAAGCAAAAGTGGCCTACTTGGGCCATATTATCTCTGAGGGGGTAGCCGTTGACCAAGACAAAGTGGGCTCCATGCTCAAGTGGCCCACTCCCAAATCCTTGAGAAAGTTAAGAGGTTTTCTGGGATTCACAGGGTACTATCGAAAATTTATACACCACTACACCCACATTGCTCGGCCACTCACGAATCAGTTGAAGAAGGATAGCTTTGGGTGGTCGGAGGCGACGGCGGAAGCTTTCCGGGCATTGAAAAAGGCCATGGTCACGACCCTAGTTCTTATAATGCCGAATTTTTCCAAGGTATTCATAGTCGAGTCCGACGCATCGAGGTTCGGACTCGGTGCAATCTTGATGCAAGAAGGGAGGCCCGTGGCTTTCTTTAGCAAGGTTCTCGGCGGAGTAAATCAATCTATAAGAAAGAGCTCATGGTCGTGTGCTTAGCGGTGGAGAAGTGGAAGCATTATCTATTAGGGAGGAGATTTGTGATACGGAGTAACCAACAAAGTCTCAAATATATCACTCAAAAACGAGAAATTGGCATGGAGGTTCGCAAACTTATTGGGTTCAATTTTGAACTACAATACAAACCCGGGGTGGCCAATAGGCTCTGTCACGGAGGGGCAAAGATGAAGGGGAGGTGGAGTTTGGAGCGTTGGTCACCACTCAAGGAGTGGATCGAGAATTACTAAGGACTGAGATCGCAAAGGATCTGGAGATTCAACGGCTGAAAACAGAGGTGGAAAAGGGAAGCGGACCCCGAGGATACACTGTAGAGAACAACCGCTTACTGTACAAGGGTCGAGCAATGCTTCCGTGAAACTCCAAAAAGGGCGCTACTTCAAATTATCATGACTCACCTAAAGGTGGTCATACAGGGGAAACCAAGACTTATTTAAAGATGGGGTTGATTGCTTTTGGGTCGGCTTGAGACGCGAGGAGGCTGACAATGTGCGGGCCTGCTCGGTTTGCCAAAGAAATAAGCATTCCCAACAATCGCCGGCTGGTTTACTCTAACCTTTGTCGATTCCAGAGAGAATTTGGGAGGAGATAAGTATGGACTTCATCGAAGGGTTGCCAAGATCGAAGGGGGTTGACACAATATTAGCCGTGGTGGACAGATTGTCGAAGTATACCAACTTTATTGGGCTAAAACACCCATTCACGGCTTATGTGGTAGCGCAGAATTTTGTTAGGGAAGTGGTCAGGCTTCATACAGTGCCGGCAGGTATTGTCTCGGATAGGGATCGAATATTTTTTAGTATATTCTGGCGGGAGCTTTTTCGGATGCAAGGCACAAAGCTAAAGAGAAGTACCTCCTACCACCCTCAAACGAACGAACGGGCAGTCCGAGGTGGTTAACAAGCAATTAGAAACTTACCTTCGCTGTTTCGCGGGGGAGCAGCCAAAGACGCAGACCAAGTGGCTCCCATGGGCCGAATATTCCTACAATACGACCCCCCCAATCATCGACCCAAGTCACTCCATTTCTGGCAGTCTACGGAAGAGAACCACCTAAGTTAATTAGGGTGGAGGCAGGACTGACGGCAGTAAACACCGTGGATGAGCTATTATAGGAGAGGGATATGATGCTCGATGAGTTAAAGAGTAAGTTGTTTCGGGCGCAACAGATCATGAAACAGAATGCTGATTTGAAGCGCAAAGACGAAGAGTTTCAAGTGAGAGATTTTGTGTTCCTAAAACTTCGGCAGAGGTCCTTGGCAAAACGACCCTTCGAGAAATTGGCGGCTCGTTTCTATGGGCCTTTTGAAGTGGTGCAACGCGTGGGAAAGGTGGCATACAAACTTCAATTACCTGATCATTGTTGTATTCACCCTGTTTTTCATATTTCACAATTGAAGCACGCCATTAGAGATGTCCCTAGCTACCCTACTATACCACATCAACTCACACCGGAGCTCGAATTGGTGATTGAGCCAGAAAGCGGTTGTTGAGCTGCGGCAGAAAGCGGGGTCCCATGGTAGGCAGGAGGTGTTGATCAAATGGCTAGGGGTCCCTTATTTTGAGTCCACTTGGGAGGATGCCGAAACCATCAAAGGTCGATTCCCGGGCATCCACCTTGAGGACAAGGTGGCTCTTTTGGGGGGCGGTATTGCAATACATCCTCTCCACCACCCGTGATCCTCACATACAGAAGACGCCACAGAAAACAGCAAGAACAGAACACCAACAACAACAACCCATGGCAGCAACAAGGGGAAGCAGGGGACCGTTGAGAGACATAGCAAACAAGTTACTTTAAGCTATTTGTTTGTAATGTCCTTAAGAAGAAAATAGACAATAGTAGTACTTGTTGTAATTAAGGCTTTATTGCCATTTCGAGTTTAGTAGTAGAAGTATAAATAGTGACTGTCTAGGAGAGGGGAAGGTATCCAGAAATATTTTGTATTGAACCTTGGAGAGTCATGGCCTAAAGCCATGTTTACGTTCGTAAGCTTAAGATAATCAAATTACAACCTTCCGACCGAATTACTTCTGTCATCCACGCTTAGTCCGTTGCGAACCCACAAATAGAGTCCATAGTGAGTTTCTGTCCTAGAAAGACTCTATCTCCATGTCCGTTTCTCGCTGGGTCATGCTGGCACATGACTTCCTTCATTAGGATTATGATACATTAAAGATTTCAATATCAGGTTCTCATATCTAAAATATGAGATTTTATGACATGAAACTCCCTGATTACCAACCATTATATTCATAACCACCAGCTTTAATAGAATATACAACATTAAACCCTTGATATACATAGATTTTAAGTTTATATTATGATATTCAATTACACAATTGATTTGTTTTAGTTCAAACAATATATTTTGTAATGAACCAGCTACCTGTGGTCCTCATGTATGTCAGATGGAAGAAGAAAATGGGCACCAATACAGCAGCAGGCCGTGAGTATTGGGCAAGGGAATGAGTGAGAGCACATAGGGACAAAAGAGCAGAGCATGTGAAGATAAAATGCCATCATCAGCCACCAAATCAGTTTGGGAACTTGTATTAGAGCTATATCGGAGTGTTGTGGGCTAAACCCACTATTTGAGAGTTGTAGGCTAAAGCTACAATCGTTGAGAGTTGTCGGCTAAACCTACTAGTATTTGTTCTTCATTTTGCTGCCATTGTTGAATTTAATCACACTAGGAGCTTTCTCCTTCATTTGTTCTGTTTTTCTCTGTTTTGATAGTACAATAGTTTCTCTCTATGTGTGCGCGCGCACGCGAGCGCTAAAAGAATCAGTCTCAGTATTACTTGTTATCAACAAAAAAGCTTGATGAGCTAAGCCATTAAAATCTAAGAGCTAACTACAAGCCACTAACATGTCCTGATGTCCAGATTCTCCAGATCATCAGCAAACAGACCAATTAAAATCTAAGCGCTAACTACAAGCCACTAACATGTCCTGATGTCCAGATTCTCCAGATCGTCAGCAAACATACCAAAACTCTACAATTCTTCTTGTCAAGCTTTTTTGAGAGTACTGAAAGAAAGTACTCTTCTTCAACTAAGATATTTACACAGAACTATGTTGGCATGTTATACCCATCCCTTATCATAAAGGACTAAGACTCTTCAAGGACTTCAAAAATCTTTATGTTAGCTGCATACTCCTTTTGTTGCTCATCCACAACAGCATAAATGCCATAAACATACCCAGAAGGATGGCTATAATCCCCATTGCGCAGAAGTAACAGAACACAAACAGCTTTAGAGACCATCAAGATTTTCAGGAAATTGTCAAAATTTTCCTCTGAATAACTCCTACCATTGCCTTTTTATGCAAGATATAATAGACAGATTAGCATTCATGTTGGGTTCTAGGAAGCTCAAGATATGCATAGCTTTATCTATAACCAGTCTAACATGTTTTAGTTAGAAGAGAAAATATTCGCTATAAGGAAAGATAAATAATGCAACAGTATTGGACCCTCTTTACAATTTATAGAAGCTAATAGGAATAAAAAATAATAGTGTCAACTATGTTCAGCATCACTCAATGCCAAGCTGCAACAAAAACCTTGCAAAAAGGCACCAAAGAAATGCAAGAAAAAGGCCTATCTATTGAAATATATACAGAAAAACCCCATACTGAATGGCTCTCACACATTAAAAAAAAAAGGGACAGATATGATGAGGCCTCCTGAATTTAGAAGATCTGTAAAATCCGAGTATACAGATAACAAGTCGCAGCTAACAACCTTTAAATTTTGCATCACAGCTTACACTTTATTGTAGTCTCTGACCAAGCAAGCATCTTACAAAATGAGCTAAACACAGCAAGTAACAGATTGGGTTAAGTAAAGTACCCCGGGGAGATGGAGGAATATCAAGTTGTTCGAAAGTAATAAAAACTTTTTGAAAAAAATAAGCTTGTGGCTAACACAATATGTTCAAATTCATAAGTTTGTTACAGTGAAAGATGACTGAAACATGACCATTAGGCTAGCCATGCTCTCTATGGTTGAACAAAACAAATTTCTTTGACAGTCCAAAACTACCAGAAGGCCTTTAGTTACTATGAAGTATAATTTACTTTATAAATGAAATACAAGAATGTTAACAGCTTGATCCCCAATCAAAACCAATGAATCCATCTATGTATGAGATAGAAAATAAAGAAGCTGCATAGTGGAGAATGACAGCTAAAATAATTCAAAAGAGCGCCTAAGTGGATAGCTTTGTGACAGTTCGAGACAATAATCAATGATTAAAAACATATCAAAACCGAGTGGCATGAAAACTCTACTGTCAAGGTGCAGTCTAGCAAGCAGATATTAGCAAGCTCAAAGAGATTACGCTCATCATAATTCAAATTTACAAATACATCAAAACCAAGTAGCATGAGAATCAAATCTTCACGTTGCTAATGTCTCATATAATACTCTATAGTCTACACTATTTCGCAATTTTTCATTGTTCACTAGTTCAGAGATTCAAATCTAAAATATAGAGACTATATTTGTCACACTTCATACGATCCTGAGTCCAAGTATTATGTAAAATTTGATTTTCAGAGATATTGCATTAACATTTGTCACCAACATACATGTCTTAAAGCGACTAATTAGGTAATTAAGCTCTAATAATAATAATAATAATAATTGACTAAATTATGTAGCCAGTTGTTCCATAACCAATTTCTTCAACTACAGTGTTGCCTACTAATCACTACTGAATACACGAAATCCACCAATCACATACCCAGTTCAAACAAAATCCCAAGAAATTTCAAAATTTTGACCAATTTACATCAGTTAAGCAAAAGGAAAAAAAATATATAAATATAAATAAAAAAATCAAGAACATTAACCACATTTGACAACCTTAATTTTTTAAAAAAAAAAATTAGAAATTAAGAGTCCAGAATACTAATACGGTAATACCCATCAATTTTCAATGAATGCTGATAATATAAAAATTAATAAAATAATGTTCAAACAAAATTCCAAGAAATTTCAAAATTTTGACAAATTTACACGAGTTAAACAAAAGAAAAAAAAATTAAGAGTCCAGAATTAATATGCTAGCAAAATACAAATACCCATCAATTCTTAGTGAATGCATAATAAAAAATTAAAAAAATAAAATAAAAAAATTCGATCGAAGTCATATTAGATATTAGCAATGAAATTTGGGCGAGAAAACAACGAAATTAGACAAACCTTGATTGCCTGAAAATCGGTAAACTGAAAATCAAATTTCTCTCCACCTTTACCGGTCTTATGCTTATGCAATTTGAACATTTTCTATCGCATTTGAGATAAATTATGAAAGATGGTACAATGTGAAGGAGGAGAGAGAAAATGTGAAGGAAGAGTGAGCGTTGTTGGCTGGTGTTGAAGACTTGAAGTAGCTGAGATGGGTTTTCAGAGAATACTGAATTTGTTGGTTTTGGACAAAGACTGATTGATTCCTCTCATCTTACACTGATGAATGTCGCAAATGTTTGTTTTTTTTCATTTTGTCTTACACTCACTAATCAAGGGCTCAAGGCCATGGACATGGACCCCACTGTTTGATCGGAAATAATTGTTAAGTGTAAATGGTGAATGATGAGATTACAAAATGAGATGCGGCCGATTGTCAGCATAACTCGTGAGATAGTAGGGAAAGAGTTGACATTTTTTTTTCCCACGAAATCTTATATGTGGCTCGTGACACTCATAGAGCTGTCAATTCAAGTAAACGGGTCGGGTTTGGGTCAGGTAAGAGTGGGTCGAGTTAATTCGGGTTAATGTCGCAACTTATGCGGGTCGGGTTTGGGTTGGGTCATGCTTGAGTCGGGTCACGTCGTGTCATACATCTTATCGGGTTTGGGTCGGGTGAACAATAGGTCGGGTTTAATTCGGGTTTTCACGGGTTAAAAAGGTTTAGGGTAATTATCGGGTTCGAGTCGAATCATTTCAAGTCAACAATTTGTGAGTTAGAATCAGGTCGGGTCATTCTCGGGTTTGAGTATGATTCGGTTTAAGTCAATAATTTGCGGGTTATAATCAGGTCGGGTCATATTCAAGTCGGGTCATTCTCGGATACAAGTCGGGTTCTGTTCAAGTCAATAATTTGTGGGTTATAATCAGGTTGGGTCATATTCGGGTTCAACTAACTATAAATAGATTATTAACTATAAATAGATAATTATCATTTTTATCAAGCTAATTATTTCCTTTTATTATAATATATATGGAAACATACTAGGGAACTATAGTTTATAATTTAGGAGGATAATTATCTCCTTTGACCATACAACATATATATTCTATATTTAACTCTTAAATTTGGGGATGATACTCCTTTCTTTTGCTGACCTGGACTAACTTGGTCTCCCGAGACAAAATACTTTGATCAACAATAATAAGGTGATCTAAATTGAATTTAAGGTGACTTGAAATCAGGCCAGGAACACTTTGGGTTGAATTTAGGTCGGGTCAATAACAAATCGTGTTGATTTCGAGTCGAGTTAGATACAGATCGGGTTAAATTTTTGGGTCGGGTTAGTAATAGGTCATGTAAAATTCGGGTCTAGTCAATAACAAGTCGGGTTGAATTTAGGTAGGGTCAATAACAAGTCAAGTTGATTTCGGGTCGATTTTGTAATAGGTCGGGTTAAATTCGGGTCGGGTTGAATTCAGGTCGGGTTAGTAACAAGTCGGGTTAGTAACAAGTCGGGTTATAATCGGGTTTTTGACGGGTCAAAACGGGTTTGGGTCCATTTCGGTTCAAGTCGAGTTCGATTCAGGTCAATAATTAACGGGTTACATTCGAATCGAGTCATCTCCAAGTCGGTTTATGTTCGGGTTCGGGTCTCACATACTCGGGTCAACTCGGGTCTAGGGTTGGTTTCAAGTCGGGTTTGGGTCGACATTTTTTCGGGTTCAGATGAGTAGGTTAATAATCGGGTTCGGGTTGGTATTTCGGGTCGGGTCAACTTTTGACAGCTCTAACTATAAGGAAGGGGTATTGTAATAGGAGTTACTTGGTCAGTGTTAATGGGGCTAATTTTTTAGTGCAATAGAGTTAATCGGTTAGTGTTGTAGGGCTTATTCAATTAGTATTATAGGGGTTGTTTGGTCAGTTTTATATGGGTTACTTTGTTCTTGTATAAGTTGTTGCATGATGTGGTTGGCCACACAAAACGAGCTGTTTTTTTTTTTTTTTTTTTGTGAAATAAAATGGAGGAATTCTGAGCCTTTAATAATTTACAAGCATTGGTATTAAGCTTTGTTCACCTCACCATAAAATAATATTCGATCAAACAAATTTTATTTCAGTAAAAATAATTTCAATTCAGAAAAAATAAGTTCAAATAAGTAAAAATAATTTCAGTTCAGTAAAAATCAGTAATATTAAAGTTTAAAAATAAAAAAAAATTAGTTTTTTCTATATAATAACAGAAAATTCGGGAAAAAAAAATTTTAGTTCTGCAAAAATAATTTCAAGTTTAGTAAAATAAAGTTCAGCTCAGTTGAAATAATTTAAATTCAGCAAAAATAAATTCAGTTCAGCAAAAATAAGGTAAAGTGAACAGAGCCTAACATTGTTTTTAGATGGTATCATCTAAATAAATACCAACAAAGAATTATATCGATATTAACAAAAAAAATTTGTATTCGTTGGTATCATTGAATAAGTATTTTGTTATCACGATAATACCATCTAAAGTATAACTTGACACCAGCACGTGTTATTAGAATTAGTCATTATTCAAGTTCCTATTTTTAGGGCTCTGACAAAATTTTTGAATTTTCTATCGAGAATTCTAACCATTTTCGGGGGTGTTCGATAAATGGGAATTGAGGGTGGGAATGAGACTTTTAATCCCAAATTTAAAAAAAAATCTCTTGCTTGTTAAATGGGATTGGGAATAAAGAAGGGAATGAGGTTGAGAATAAATGGGGTGAATTCACACCAATTTATTACCTAAGGATGGTAGGTAATAAATGAGTGAGAATGGGAATAAGTAGAAAATGACAATTTTGCCATTAATAAAAAGAATAGAGAAGAAAGATTAGTAAGGGTAGTTTTGTATTTTTGTTATTTATTCCCATTCATTATTCGAACAAAGTATTGTCATATTTTTATGTACTAGGAGGCTAGAGCGCGCTACGCGTGCTTTTTGTTTGCAAATCGTATTTGGTTGACATATGTAGAAATGGGGCAATGTTGTGGGTTTTTCAAATTAAACATTTAAGTATGTTATGAGTTTGAATTGAAATGCAAAGTGTGTAAGTTGTGTATTGTTATGTAAGAAATTAAATGTTGTTAGAGGAATTTAGCTAATATTGATATTGAATAAGGGTAGAGGTATTGTTGGGAGTATTTTAGCATTCTAATGTGATCAAATCAATATTATAATTTTTAATGGCTTTTGCATTTGATCATTGAAGAATATATAATAGTACGCGGTATGTAATAAGCATGCATAACAATAAATCATAGTTTCCTATAACCTAATATATAAATCTATAATTTAATGTTTATGGTGGGAGTATTAAGGAAGGAGATAAGAAACTGATGAACATAAAGTCTATAAATAAGTATTTTAATGTGTTGTTGATTGGAGATAAGAATGCTAAGTATTCAATTAGTTTGGATATTTATTGTTGACTTAGCCATAATTTTATTTATGGTTGATGTTAGAGTTTGTACATGTATTGAAAAAGATTAATTAGTGAAGGAAGTTATGGGTGAGCGAGTAATGAGTAATTTTAATGATATTAATTGTAGTTTTGACTTGAGTTTGAATTTTGTGTTGTTGGTGTTCATTTGTGTATCTATATTCGTAAAGCAAATATGGTTTTGGCATGAACAAGTGAATAACTTATGTGGGATGGCGAGTAAAGGTGGTAGGCGTGGACGCAAGCCTTTTGTGCAAGGGTCTAGGGAAAGAGTAGCCGAAACACATGCTTGGTTGAATGATATGGCAGCAGATTGGGAAGGGATGTACTTTAAATGTGTGTTTTCTAAAGCATATCATTCTGAAGGAATTATTGTATGTTTTTTGTTATACTTTGTTTATATAGTGATTGTTTATTATGGAAACTTTTTTTGTTATGGTGTTAATTGATGCTTGAATTGATGCAGAATGTTCCGTTGGACTTCGCTAAAGCATGGTATAGTTCATTTCCAAAATAAACGGATGCTGTTGTACAACTTTATGATACTCGGTTTGATGCCCAGTTGAAAATTAAGAGACGTGATGAAAAGCTTATTCAATGTTTTATCAAAAATGAAGTTGTTGGCTCGATTGACTACTATGATATACAAATTGATGAAGGGGCGATTGTTAGTTATGAGCATGGAAATCCTATAGTGTTTGATGTTACATTAGAATTGAGTGCTGATTTTTAATGTATTTGTGGCTTTGCAAGATTAAGAATTGATAGTGTGAATAAGAGTGCTATTATTAGCTTAATGTGTTATGAAATAACAATTGAAATAAGCTTAATGTTATGGAAAATAACACATGTATAGAATTTAAAACTATTAGATGTTTAATATATTTTGTACTTTAATAATTCAAAATAATAAATCGATTCAAAATGATGTTACGATTTCAAAAATTAATAAAATACATTTTTTTTTTTGTTATTAAAAATGAAGTTGCTTTTAGTCGTAAAATGAAATTAATCAATTTTTTCTAAAAAATTATTACGTGACTTTAGTATCGGTAGTTAGGTTTCATGTGTAACCAAAAAAATGAATTGTTTCCTTGTACTCGTGCATTGTCCGAAACAGTACAATTCTTCTCCTTCTTGCATGTTATGATAGCCATATGAAAAGTTATGAAAGAGAAAGGGACGATTTGATTGCAATAAAAGGCAAGATTTGATGTTCATTACACATCCCCCCAAAAGTTCTCTGCATTTTCTTGGAAAGTTGAAGAGCTTTTCTCTTTGGTTTTCATTTTCTGTATACACATTCTAATCTGATAACCTTAGGATCACCATGGCTGGAAACGGTGACGATACTATATTCACAGAGTGGTACCGAAAATTCTTGGAAAAGCGCAAAGATAATCTCAGGGGTCAGATTCTGGTAGCAAATGAAGTTCGAACGGAGGCGAGAAGAAGCTTGGGGGGCTGATGGAGCAAATGAAAGATGTTGATGCGCAATTAACAAAGTGCTCTGAGGTTGCGAAGGGGAAGAGCAAGGGTAAGAAACCTGAACCCGGAAGCAATTTTCATAATCCCATAGAAGTTGATAGCGACAGTGACGAAGAGCCAGTGAGAAAGAGGAGATTTCTAGGTTTTCAAGGTGAGTCATCGAAAAGCAGGGGAGAATGTAGTGATGCGAAGGTGGTTTTTAGTACTGGGGTAGAAGGAGGGGAGTGATATATCTAATTTATATAGTGTTTTACCCCCGTCGCGCGGTCATAATTAGTAGTGTTTTTGGCTCCTTAGAGCCACTTTTATTACTAATTTGTGTTTTCTAGTGTTTTCATAGTTTTATTTGTATTTTACAGGAAATTGCACTTTTGGAGCATTTTCCCGGGTTTTATGGATCAACTACGGAAGCTAGAAGGACATGGCCAATCTTGAAGCCTAGGATCGGTGAGAGCCGATGATTAAGGGCTCGGTATGAGATACCGGGGCTATTGGATCGATTAATCAAGACCCGATGAGGAAACTTAGATTGGGCCGAGGAATTTAGCCCAATCGAAATCCAAGCCTCGAAGAAGAAGACCGGGCCCGATCAGGCAAGCATACGCCCGATCGGGCGGCTGCGCGCATAAGGATCCTCAAGGAAGAGGCGCGCCCGATCGGGTGAGCGTAAGCTCGATCGGGCGCGACACACCAGCAGCGGGCAAGG